GGCTCCCTCGAGATTATTTTAATCTCTTTATAAACAATAGAATATTCTTTCAAATTCTACCAAAATAAAAATAGAAACCTATAAAATTAAAGTTTGTTTCTTTCAAACTTTGTGAAACGTTGATGGAAGTTAAAAAAATAATATATCCAACTTTTTCGAGAAAAAAAAATCAATGTTAAATTGTAAAATACAGTTTTATGATTTGTTTTCCAAAAATCTGGTTGTCTAGAGTAAAAATCAAGACAGGTTCATAAACCACAACCACAAGAAGTATGTTATATTACAAAATTTACTAGGCAAAATTTTAGCGTGATGTCATCATATTGTTAGTTGGGAGAAAACATTTTACTTACGCTCGTGAAGTAAAATCCTATAAATAAGGTTGTTAGTGCCTCTGGCGGGGACCTGTTGCACCCCTCTCCACCCGTAAGGGTGGGAGCCAGGGCCACCACCACCTTCGAATACAGGGAACATTCATTCACTATTCATCATTCACTCTTCAAGCACTCTTCAAGCGGTTAACATAGTCTTTATATTCAATCTCTGGACCTAACGGTCATAAAATCATACTCGCTCTAGAACACACTTGTTATTTATTTAATAAAACTATAAAACGACTGTCCGCTGCTCTTATTCATAATCCATCAAACTTAACATGGTCCTTCGAGCCGGATCAGCGACAGAAAATCAGTAACAGTGATAAGTGTAGTTCGATAAATCATCATCGCTTGGAATTCAACATTCCACCTAAATCATCAAGTATTCAAAAATCGGTAACGGCCGCGAGTGCAGTGCAAATCATCGAGGGTCATTCATCAAGAAACTCAGGTAGGCTTTAGTTTTGTCCATTTTGCGTAGTGCATTATTCTCGTACTGACGATGTCGAATAACGAATCTCTCTGGAAATTTATCGTTCTTGTTAACGATGTGCATTCACATGCGGAGTTCATCTCGGAAGTTACAAACCACCAAAAAATAGGCGAGTTAAGATGCAGGTTGGAAGATTTGAAACGGGTACAATCTAACGTACAAAATCTTATAGTTGAACATAAATCGGAAATCGTGGTATTTTTAGATGACACGAGTAGCGAAGAATCTAACAAACCCGCAGTTTATAATCTCGGACCCGTGCAAACCTATATCCATGAAATATCGGAATTATATACTGCTCTAATCAAAAAAGCCGATTTGTTGTATCATCTTCCTTTCCCGAATTCGTTTAACGTAAATACTAACAATGCTCATCTCGAAAAACGTTGTGAAAATCTAAAACCCATAAAAGTGGACAACATGCTAAATGGAGAACCCATTAAACTTCATAAAACTACCAATGCTCCGGTTAATGTGCGGTTTACCCCTGCACTATTCATTAAGTATAAAACTATAGATAACAAAAAAGTCATTATTTCAGAAACGCATAAGTTAATACCGAATTCTCACAAATTATTATCAAATTCAATATCAAGCAAACCGAAAAATCATCCGGATAATAATTCTTGCAACTCTGTGGGCATGTCCCAAACTAAGATAGATAGCACATCCAATCCAAAATCAGACACCGCGTTAATTCCAATAAAAAGTCATACAGATAATTTGAAAGATTGTAGCTCATTATTGGATACCGGTAAACAATGTGAATCCAAAACCAAATATTTGGGTAAATCATTAAAATCAAACACAAAGAAGGTACAAGTAAGCAATAATCAATCAATCCCGTGTTTTATATGTTCCCAAATGCACAACATATTCAATTGTACAACTTTTTTAAGTTTAACGCCCAACGATAGAGTGGAACAAATAAAGAAAATGAATCGTTGCTTCAATTGTTTAAGAAGTAATCATGTCGCGAAAAATTGTTACATATCAAGGCATTGTAAACAATGTCATAAGAAGCACCACACGCTTTTGCACGCAGAAACAAACAATAACCTTCTCAAAAATGAAATCAAAAATAAACCAGATGAGGATTCCGATAATCCTGAAGACACCTCGAAATGTAATTTAGCTATTCCGTCTAGTGTACTTTTATCCACCGGTTTGATTCGCGTAATGGGCCAATCAGGTAAAGTAAAAGAATGTCGCGTTTTCTTGGACATCGGGAGTAAATCTCAATTCATCACCGAAAATTTGGGCAAGTCTTTGGAATTACATATTCATAGCATCGACACCTCAATCGTAGCAATTCTTGATAAGAATAAACATTCAGAAAATGCCGAACTTAAAATACAAAATCATTTTATGAAAAATCCACCGGCGCTTCAAAATACCGCGCTGGGGTTGATTCTTAATGGCAGTTTTGGGCATTTAAAAAATTCCCGTCATCACAATATTAGTTTGAATAAAATTATTTCTCATTTGTTTGAAGTTGAGACTGTCAAAACCGGAAGCAGGTTATTAAGCAAAGGTCTTAAAACCTCTGTATTTGCAACCCCTTTTCAAAATACCACCGGCCATTCACCCGATGGTCGTTTCGTAATTAAACTCCTCTTTTCGGAAAAGTTGGGTCGTTCCACCGTCCCTTATTTCAAAAATCCACCTCAATTAAGAAATTCCCAAGAAGGGGTTCTCCAACCGTTATTGTTCGCAGAGGGTCGTAATCATAAACTTACCGAGGGTTTTATTGTCTTTCTAAGGAAGTACCTAGACCTTGTACACCTGAAGGTACTTAACGGAAATTCCTTAAATAATCCTAGTTACCTGCCACACAATTGTGTTTACAATCCCTACATTTCTTCCATTAAATTCTGCAAGGTTTTTGACCGTTCAAATCTTAGCTCAAACAATTCAAGCCTAAACGACAACTCATTAACAGCCCCCGTTTTGCAGTCCGAACCTTTCACAATTCTAATTCAATTTCGTTTGCCCCAATTTATCGACACATGTGATATATCGAAGATGTACCGGTGTGGTTGGCTTCACTCGGACGACCGCAATTATCAAAAAATCATGTGGCTAGAATCTCCTGAACACAATCATTGGTTTTATGTCGATAAGGCATTGTTCGTTTCAAATTCTTTAGTCAAATTAATCGAGCCCAAAGACGATTTAAAGACCGTTCTAGCGAAGGCAAGTTCCAAGATAAGTAAATGGTCGTCTAATTGTACTGATATACAAGAATGCGCTCAGGCTACATCCAACAGTAATCGTTTAATAACTGACAAACAATACAATAATAAAACTTTAGATATCAGGTGGGATAACCAAAAAGAATCGTTTTTATATGCAGCATTCATTAGTCACGACGTCACAAATTTCGTAAGTACTAAGCGCAAGCTAAGCGAATTGCTATTAGGGAAAGAATTTCAGAATAAGCTAAAACCAGAAAATATCAAATGGACTTTAATTCCCCCGCGTGTGCCCAATTTTGGTGGTTTGTGGGTAGCGTGGATTAAATTCATAAAAACTCACATCCAGCGCATTATCGGATACAACCATCTAACGTACGAGATGATGCATGCGCTTTTGGTCAGGATTAAAGCTGTCCTGAATTCGCACCCTGTGACGCCGCTTTCCAGCGACGTTACTAATTCAGCCGCACTGACTCCGGGCCATTGTCTTGTTGGCCATCCATTGACAACTCCAGTAGAAAAGGAATACACTACTATTCCTGTCAACATCCTTTCCCGTTGGCAATTGAGTGAATCCTGTCGCCAACATTTTTGGAAGCGCTGGTCCGCGGAATATCATACGACGCTGCAGGGGAGATCCAGGTGGCAAACCCTCTCAAGAAACGTTCCCGGCACTGGAGCGCTGGTACTACCGATCAAAGAAGACAACCGGCTCCCGTTGCGGTGGCGATTACAACGAATAGTGCAAGTGCATCGCGGCAAAGACGATCTGGTTCGCGTAGTGTCTGTGCAGTGTCGAAATTGCATCATAAAGTGTGCCAATTCGGAAACGGTATTTCCATTTACTAATTCGGGCTCTGGTTAACTCATTACATACACACTATTGTAAATAAAGTTTGTCCACTCATATTGTACCTGATAAAGAGTTGTAAATCTCTCTTTCAGGTGTATTCCATGTATAAGTAATGCATTCTTATTGTATGTGGGCAAGTGTTGTAAATCGCTATTCTTAGTTTATTGCCCATATTGTATAATCACTGTGAATCCATTCTATACAATGTTAATTGTAGTAAATCTTACTCATGTATTCTGATTCGAATTGATCATTACGATATCATGTTATCACTCTAACATTCTATTATTTTGGTATTAAAACAATGTAATTGTTTCAAGGTGGGGGGTATGTTAGTGCCTCTGGCGGGGACCTGTTGCACCCCTCTCCACCCGTAAGGGTGGGAGCCAGGGCCACCACCACCTTCGAATACAGGGAACATTCATTCACTATTCATCATTCACTCTTCAAGCACTCTTCAAGCGGTTAACATAGTCTTTATATTCAATCTCTGGACCTAACGGTCATAAAATCATACTCGCTCTAGAACACACTTGTTATTTATTTAATAAAACTATAAAACGACTGTCCGCTGCTCTTATTCATAATCCATCAAACTTAACAAAGGTAATTGCTTTGAAAAATCTGTGGCCATCTTTAATCGTGCTTTTTATTGCTCTGTTGTTTTATTGTAGTTGAACTCATCAACATCACTGACAATTTGACACGAAATTTTTACACAGTAATGTAATTTGACATCGCTATAAAGTTGCATTGAAAAAAATAATAATTTCGTAAAAATTATAAAAACAACAACTTGGAAAATGGAAGCACTGCGACCTACGATTTTCAATAATCCTGTTAAGTAGTTTAAATGTTAAAAATTCTTGAACTGTTTAAAATCTGTTATCTACTGCTACGGTAAAAAAAGCGAAAATCGACTCGATTAACGACCAATTTATTTTCAATATCTACACATTGTGTTGAATCGCCAGTAATCGAACGTAGAATGAGCTGATTGTGTTTCTAATTTTTCGTTCGATAATTTTTCAGTAGATTATGTTCACGTTCACATTTTAACCATTTCCGTCCTGTTTCAGCCAAAAGGGCTACCACAGCCCTTGGAATTGGACAACGGTGACAGCCACCGGAGAATAACATCGGCTTCAGCCTCCACAAACCTGGAGGAACTCAACTTCGTACCAAAGCGTCAATAACGACGCTGCCTTCACAGGGTTCGACTTCGACTATTTTTCCAAATGAGAGGTTAGTTTCGTTCGTTTCCGTTGTTCTCTCGACTCATACTTATTGTGAACCGGCAAATCGCTGCTCTTATTCACAAACAATGGAGGTATACTCAATTCACACCTAAATCAACGCACGCTCGATTAATAATTCATCCCGGACTATGATTAGAATTTGTAATTCTGTTACGAGACATTTACATACAATTTTAGAACTTAATTTCCATTTTAAATGCGCCAATAAAAGGCTGCTCCCCATTTAAAATCAGTGCTTTGATGATGCTTTTGATATTTATTAATGTCGATTGGCTTCGGATGGATATCGCATCATCCAGCGGGAAAATTGAGAGAAGTTCTCGGACGGAATTTATTAGGATAATATTTTCAAACGACAATGCAAGCCCGCATCTGATTCTACAATTGATTGTGGACTATTTTAGAATTAGTTGGTGTAATTAGTCGAAGCTTTATCGCTGTACCCACATGCCTGATAAAACTGTGCTGTTACAACAATTTTTATGCTTGTTTTCTGTGTTCCATTTATCATTTGGTGCTATCTCGGAAACGCCACAACGGCTTCGGGGCGCAAATAAAGCGCGATTTTGTCACTAGTGACGGATTACTAACTAGGCTAAAATAGACAAAATAGGTGTTAAAAACGGGGGATTTAGGCACGAAAAGGTTTTTATATAAGCCAAATTATGTTTAAGATGCTTTTGTTGGAAATAGTATTGAGTCAAATTTCATAATAACCTAAAATGTTTCGTTTAATTTAGAATTACATAACAAAATTATGAATAGCAATAAACGAACCTTTTTTACATCGTCAAAATGATCACAATAATATATTGCCGCTTCTATCCATAAATCCCATCTTGTCAGAACAGGTTCTGGAGGCAGCATGTTACATATTTTACCAAAAATTGAAGAGCCGATTCTTTTGCGCCTAATTTCATTCCACTCTAGCTACAAATAAAAGTTCGATGCCAACTGCAACAACATTTACAAAAATTTGCATTGGTGGGAGATTTCAAAATATCTCAGTGACTTGCAGATTAAATTTTGAAAACATTAGAGGGTGGACATTCTCATAAAATTTTATTGTCAGATTATGAGGACTTTAAAAGGACGGGCTCTATCGGTTACCTGTTATAGGTTTGAGTGGATCAGAAAAATGGCTAAAGTTTGTTTGACCACAAATTTTAAATATTCTGCCTGTGTTTACGCAATTATTTATTAAGATGTTTTATTTCTGTAAAGCGCAATGGATTTTTTAATACAATTTCTATTAATGTACCTTTTTGAAAATTTAAAATTGGTCCATAAGTAGCGAAAACGCGTTGTAGTTTTTTTTTTGACAACAGAATTTAAAAAAAGCAGTCTGGGTTGGGTTTTTTAAGCTCATTTCAACAGTGTGAAGTTTATTACAATCGGACGTATACTTTTGGCAAAAACTTGGACAGAAATTTATGTTTCCCTATGCTGGAATATGCTTTAGCTCCCCCTAAAAATGATGAAGAGCTTATGTACATTATGGTTACCTGGTTTCTTAACAAATTCCGTGCTAAACTAGTTTTAGATTTTAACTCCCTAGTGGGTTAATCTCCTCTTTGTGGGGACGAACCAGGTATAGTAATCCCGGCAGGTCAAGTAAACGATTTGTAGAGAAAAACAAAACAAATTTTTGAGTATTTGGGTTAAAATTAATTTATTGCAAACCCATCTTGTCAGAACAGGTTCTGGAGGCAATGGACAATCGGATAAGGCGTGCCACTGTTACATTATTGGTTTTTTCTAATATCTTCGATGTCAGTAAATGTGATGTACTAAGCTGCCTCTACAGATAATTTTCCCACTACAATATTTGCAACGTATTGCCCATTAGAATTTGTAGTTTCATCTACTGCTAACTAAATAAATAAAATAGCCAAAATTAGGATGTTCCCAAGCTTAAGTTTCCATGCAATCACAAAATACTATGTTATCGTAAACTTGGGACAAGAAATTCTTTTTTAAAGAGGATTCCTCAGAAATATTATTTTTGCAGTTGCAGATCAGATTGACTTTATCAAATGATATAACCTATTAGAAGATTGAGGACGGGTGGGCAGGCCTTACTTACTAAGATAAGCCTGACTTTGGTTGATGGCATACCCTACAAGAAAATAAAGGGTGGGTGGGCGGGGCTAGTGCAGGTTAAAGTAATACCGACTTTGGCGAATAACATATCCTCGAAAAAAAACAGGGCGGGTGGGCGGGGCTAGTACTTACTAAGATAAGACTGATTTTGGTAAATGATGCATCCTTCTATTTTCTTAGAAAGTAATCATTTGCCAAAATCAGTCCTATCTTACTAAGTACCAACCCCTCCCACCCGCCCTCTATTTCCTTAGGGGTTATGTCATTTGCCAAAATCTGTCTTGTCTTAGCAAATATTAGGCCCGCCCACCCGCCCTCTGTTTTCTTACAGATTATATCATTTGCCAAAATCTGTCCTATCTTAGCAAGTACTAGCCCCTCCCACCCGCCCTCTATTTTCTTATAGATTATGTCATTTGTCAAAATGAATCTTGTCTTAACAAATATTAATATAAAAAATATATAATTTTCTCACAGGCTTTACAGAACAATTCCCCGTTTTCTACTTGAAAAATGTCTTCGTTTGTCGTCCGTTCCCTTAACTTATCCTTTAAAGACGATTTGACTATGGGTATTTTTAAAAATGGCACAACATACTAGATGATAAACTATTTTTAAAACACCTTTGAACTTCACTTTACGAAAACCCAACACGAACTAATTGATACAGGAAGAGAACTCGAAAAGAAAGTTGTAGAAGGGCTTGGTGTATTTAAGAGATCAAAGCTCCTCCTAGAAAAACAATTGACAACTTGTGTTTTAATTATTTTAAAACCTATCTACGTACTTGGTTGGGCAATAAAATTTGTTTTTGGATGGTTTATGAAAAATAAATTTGGGTTATTAAACTGACGCAAGAAAGATGTGCCTGTGGGTACAGAAAATTCAGATTTTAGACAAACTGAGCAGAAAAAAGTAAAATATATCGAAAACCTAGAATCCGCTTTTTTGTGCATGTAATTAATGAATTCATGCTACCCATATCCTTTTTCTCCTTTTTTAATAAGGAATCTAAATCTCTAAAAATTCACACAGTTTTACATTCAAAAATGCAAATTATCTTAGCCACTACTAGCTCCGCCCCCCTCCGCCCCCTATTTTCTTAGAGATTATGTCATTTGCCAGAATCAATCTCGTTTTAGCAAGTACTAGCTCCGCCCACCCGCCCTCTAGTTTCTTAAAGGTATATCATTTTCCAAAATCAGTCTTATCTTACTAAGTACTAGCCCCGCTCACCCGCCCTCTATTTCCTTAGGGGTTATGTCATTTGCCAAAATCAGTCTTGTCTTAGCAAATATTAGGCCCGCCCACCCGCCCTCTGATTTCTTACAGATTATATCATTTGCCAAAATCTGCCTTATCTTAGCAAGTACTAGCCCCGCCCACCCGCCCCCTATTTTCTTAGTGATTATGTCATTTGCCAAAATCAATCTTGTCTTAGCAAATATTAATATAAAAAATATATAATTTTCCCACAGGATTCACAGAACAATTCCGCGTTTTCTACTTGAAAAACGCCTTCGTTTTTCGTCCATTCCCTTAACTTGTCCTTTAAAGACGATTTGACTTTGGGCATTTTTAAAAATGGCACGAAAACCCAACACGAACTAATTGATACAGGAAGAGAACTCGAAAAGAAAGTTGTAGAAGGGCTTGGTGTATTTAACAGATCAAAAACTCTTCCCAGAAAAGCAAGAGACAACTTGTGTCGGGGTCTGTAAATGGGTGTTTCGATTATTCTAAAACCTGTCTTATGTCATTTGCCAAAATCAATCTTGTCTTAGCAAATATTAGCCCCGCCCACCCGCACTCTTATTTTCTTGAGGGCGGGTGGACCGAGCTAGTATTTATTGAGATTAGACTGACTTTTTCAAATGATTTAACCTATAAGAGAATAGAAGACGGGTGGGCAGGTCTTACTTGCTAAGATAAGTCTAAGTTTGGTTGATGGCATATCCTATAAGAGAATAAAGGGTGGGTGGGCGGGGCTAATACAGGTTAAAGTAATACTGATTTTGGCCAATAGCATAGCGCCGAATAAAAGAGAGGGCGGGTGGGCGGGGCTGTACTTACTATTTTCTTAGAAGGTATCATTTGCCAAAATCAGTCTTATCTTACTAAGTACTAGCCCTACCCACCCGCCCTCTATTGTCTCAAAGGGAATTTCATTTGCCAAAATCAGTCTCATCTTGGCAGTACAAGCCCCGCCCACCCGCCCTCTAGTTTCTTAAAGGTATATCATTTTCCAAAATCAGTCTTATCTTACTAAGTACTAGCCCCGCCCACCCGCCCTCTGTTTCCTTAGGGGTTATGTCATTTGCCAAAATCAATCTCGTCTTAGCAAGTACTAGTGCAAGTGTAAGAGATTCTGTCATTTGTAATTAATTTGGTCTTACAAATATTAATATAAAAAAAATATAATTCATACTTACAATTTTCTCACAGGCTTTACAGAGCAATTCGCCGTTTTCTATTTGAAAAACGTCTTTGTTTTTCGTCCATTCCCTTAACTTGTCTTTAAAGACGATTTGACTGTGGGCATTTTTAAAAATGGCACGAAAACCCAACACGAACTAATTGATACAGGAAGAGAACTCGAAAAGAAAGTTGTAGGAGGGCTTGGTGTATTTAATACATCAAAGCTCGTCCTAGAAAAACAATTGACAACTTGTGTTTTAGTTATTTTAAAACTTGTCTACGTACTTGGCGGGGCAATAAAATTTGTTTTTTGGTGGTTTACACAGAAAAATAAATTTGGGTTATTAAATTGACGCAAGAAAGATGTGCTTGTGGGTATAGACAAACTGAGCAGAAAAAAGTAAAACATGTCGAAAACCTAGAAAAGAGCGGACTTTTGTGCAACATTCATATTTATTAATGTAATTAATTAATCAATTAATTAATGCTACCCATGTCATTTTTCTCCTTTTTTAATAAGGAATCTGAATCTCTAAAAATACACACAGTTTTACATTCAAAAATCCAAATTATCTTAGCCACTACTAGCTCCGCCCACCCGCCCCCTATTTTCTTAGAGAATATGTCATTTGCCAGAATCAATCCTGTCGTAGTAAGTACTAGTCTCGCCCACCCGCCTTCTATTTCGTTGGAGATTATATCATTTGCCAAAATCAATCTTATCTTGGCAACTATTACTCCCGTAGTCTATTTTCTTGAGGGCGTGTGCACGGGACTAGTATTTAGT